TTCCCACTAATCTTTCTCTCTTTTTTTTTTTTTTCGAATCATCGGATACGATCTTTTCTCGTACGCGTGGTACGCAAGGGAAAATTTTGTTTTCCTAATCGTAAAAAGTAAGTTAGAAATTCCAGAGCAATGTCCTCCGTCACTTTCACGTCCTCTTCGATTTGCACGTCGGCTATGCATACTACTTACCTATTGTCTTCGAACGCAATGCACTCGAATTTAATCGCCTCAACGAGATTGCTATTTCTATTGCCGTTCCCGTTGCCGTTGCCGTTGCCGTTGGTGCTTTTTCTCTGGCTATCGAGAGATTCGAAAACGATCGTGAAATCGTTTCTCACGAGAAAGAGTTCAAGAAAGAGTAGAGAAAAATGAACTTGCACTATACGTTGCAACTCGATTCTGAAATGTGCTTATTACTGTAGACTTAACAATGTTAAATGTCAAGAAGTTCTCTCGTGTTATCTGTAAAACTTTACAGAATGATTTATCGTATAATAATATCATTCAAAAACGATGGAGAAAAAATTTAGTAAAAACGTAAATTTAGAAAGGGGTAAGAAAAAAAAAAAAAGAAAAGAAAAAAGAGAAAGCGCATCATTTTATTATTTGTCATAGGATGTCGATGAAATCTCATTATCCTCGAATTATTTTGCATTGTACTATCAAAAAAAAAAAAAAAAAAAAAAAAAAAAAGAAGAAAAACAGAACAAAGACAAAAGAAAAGAATAAAGAACAGGAAGAAAAAAAAAATGAAACTTTGAATGATAAAAAGAAAATAAGGAGAAAAATATTATTTTTCACGCCTCCACGAATAAATTGAATCAATATTACGAGATCATTGTGATTCGAGAAAGAAAAAAGTGAAAGAATGAATCGAGAATATTCAACGACAAAAGGATCGAATTTTGAAAGATGTACTAATGCAACGCTGATGTACATATCCTTGTTTGATCGTGGTGAGGTCTCTTAGGCGGTGCTCGGGGTCCATGGGCGGGCCCCGCCGCTCCCGAAGGGGACCTATATAAGTACTGCCACGGAGCGTTCGCGTGTTAAGCGATCCTACAATACAATCACTTCTGCCTCATCAGCAGCAACGAGACATGCGTCTTCCTGTGAGTATTCGAACTATTTTACTTGTCGTTTGTAATTGAAATTTCAACGAGAGAAAAAGAACAGAAAAGAAATTGAAATGAATGCGAAAAGTGGAGGCAAAAAAAAACCATTTTGATTGTAGATTATTGTAAAAAGTAAAAGAATCAAAAAAAAAAAGAGAGAGAGAGAGAGAGAGACGAAGACAAGAAAAAATTATTTAAGATTATTATTCTCAAATGTCTGTCAGTGAAAAAAAAAAGAAATAAAATGTTTCTTTTTAATTTCGAAGTGAAACGATTTGATTATTTTCTTTTTTTTTTTTTTTTTTTTTTTTTTTTTTTTTTTTTTTTTTTTTTTTTTAATTATATATCTATCTATATATATATGTATGTATGTATATATGTATATAAAAAAAATAACGCCGTGATACTATTAAGCAAAGTTATTCCGACAGGTGCCGTTCCTTCTTTCTTGCGTCAGCTTAGTGGCCGGCCAATATAACAATCGACCTTACCAGATGACCACTCCTGTGCCTATTCTCAAGCAAATCAACAAGTAAGTATAACAATCGAGAAATAATGAAAGCACGATACACCATGAATCTTAATTACATTAACACCTTTGAAATTGAAAGATAATAATGGATAACGAATGTTATTTCGTAAAAAAAACAAGAAAGAAAAAAAAAAAGAAAAAAAAGAAGACAGAATGAACGGATTGTAATCAATGATCGATAATGATCCTAATTAAAATTATAATTATTTTCTTTATTAACAATTATCATTGAATAGAATAATAAACTTTAGAAATTATTAATGTTAACGTTGATGGATTAATAAAAGTGATGAGAAGGAAAAAAAAATAAAAAAAATAACAAAAATAACAAAAATAAAAAAAATAAAAAAAATAAAAAAAAATAAAAAAAATTAGGCACAACGGAGACGGTAGCTATAGTTATGGTTACGAGGCTGCCGATGGTTCTTATAAAATCGAATCGAAATATCCGACCGGTGAAGTTTATGGGAAATATGGATTCGTTGACGATACCGGGAACGTTCGAGAGATCGAGTATGGTGCTACCAGGCGTGGATTCGAGCCTGCCGGAGCTGGGATTAATGTACCACCACCGACCTTGACCTCAGCCAATAGCATTGCGAACGAGCCCGAGGACGATGGTCAATACCGAGAGGACCCATCGGTTTATTATACCGATCCAAGATATACCAATGGTGAACGTTACGAGCCAAGATCACCAGCTCAGCCTTATAATCTTCAACGACGTCCTCCCATCGATTCACGTTCTTTACCAAGGTCAGTAGTTCCTTTTTTGAAATAATTATAATAATGACTTTACGAGAAAGTCATTAGATAGGAATAATTTCAAGATAAACCTAATGCGCACCTGTAATTATTTTAAAAGATAAATTTTATATATATATATATATATATATATAATAAATAAATAAATAAATAAATAATAATGAAAATATAAAATACTATTGATGATTATTATGAAGTTAATATTTCAATAATAATTTAATCATTAAAGATCAATTTCGTTCAATTATTTTCGATAAAAATAGTAATTAGAGTAGTCAACGATCCTTTGGAATTTTGAAAAAATTTAATAATAATAATAATAATAATAATAATAATAATAATAATAATAATAATAATAATAATAATACATTTTTCTTTTATGTGACTTAATTGGAGTGATAGAAATTTCGTTGTAATAATTGGAATGATATAATTTTCTCCCTCTCCACTCCCCCGCCCCTCAGAGCATGGCTTCGTTGTCATTACAAAATTACTATGTTTTAATGTAATCCGAGTTTTCTTGGCCTGACTATAAACTGACTCGTACTACTGGCTCGATTCTTTAATTATATCTTTGATTTTTATGGACGTATTTGATTGTATTCGATCGAATAGATAGACCAGAAGCCTTGAAACAAAGCAATTATCTATTAATTTCGGTGATTAAGCGATTTAGTGGTGGGATCTGTTGCACAGCAATCGGTTAGCAACAGGATAGCCGATTGAACTGAAATGTCAGGCAAATCGTTTGAAAATGTAACAATCGTGACTTGCACAACCAATAGAATTGTCTAAGCCCTCTGCTATAAATATACATACTCATATATATACTATATATATATATAGTATATACTTTATATAATCATAATTTTATTTGATTAATTTATTCATTATTTATTATTATATTTATTATTATTGATACATAAAATTTATATATGTATATATATATACATATACGTATATAATTTATATAACTATTATATAGCGTAATCACATTGAAGTATATTAATTTTTGTTGTGTAATAAATTTATTTTTATACAAAAAATTAATAAGATTTCTAATGTTTTTTTTTCTTTTTTTTTCTTTTTTTTTTCTTTCACTTTTCTTTTCTGACGAGAAAGAGAGAGAGAGAGAGAGAGAGAGAGAAAGAAAAAAAATACATACACACACACATGCACACACACAAATGCGAAGATTTTTTTTTTTAAATAATTAAATAAAATTTAAAAGGTGTCATAATTAATTGATAAATGAACAAGTTGTAGTTGTCGTTGTTATTATTGTTGTTTTAGCAATTCTATGCCAATTGCTCCTCGAATGTCGGCGCCTCGATACGAGGCCGCGTATCGACCACAGTATCAACCGCAATATCAAGGACAACAGGGACAAGGGAGATCCTTGTACACTCCGATGGCATACCAAGCCGGATATCAGGGACATCCGGCGCCCAACGTGGTCTCAAATGCTGGCTTGGCATCCTATACTATAAATTACAAACGATAAAGAGAAATTACAAAAAATCAAAATGGCAGACAATATGGGCGCGATCTATCGTCTTCTTCTTCTTCTTCTTCTTCTTCTTTTTCTTCTTCTTCTTCCTGTCTTGTGTAAATAATTTTAAATTAATTTATACGCAATACATTCGTTGTTTCTTTTCTTTTTTTTTCTTTTTTTTTTTTCTCATTTTTCTTTTTTTAGTTCACATCACGAGACTTTCACAATCTTCTCGTTTCTTTTTTGTTTGTTTGTTTTGTACGTTCGTTCAATTTAGATTTACTTACGACGGATGCACCCGTGCATTCCAACTTATATGCATCTAACTAATACGAAGTTCGAATGCAATGCAAATAAAGGCTGCTTTACGTTTATCTCTTTCGTTTATGTTTCTTCGTCTTTTTCTTTTTATTATAACGTTAGAAGGATCACATATATATATATATATATATATATATATATATATATACATATACATTACTTCTTTATGAATTAACCCATGAATATAAAAATTGAAATGTACGAATAATAATTTATCATTTTGCAAATGATACGTATTATAGATACGAAATACGTGTACAGTACTTACGTGTGGGTGCGTCTACGTATAAGGATATTTTTAAAATTTTATAAAAAAAAAAAAAAAAAAAGAAAGAAAAAAGAAAAAAGAAAAAAAAAGAAACAAAAAAGAAAATATATATATATATAAGACTATGATAATATTTATTTTCGAGGAAATTTTTATTAATCGATTATAGAAAATCGCGATGACTTTAATCGAATTGAAATCTAACTGAAGTATTTCAGGATTTTCAACGATGCGATGCACACTTTTAGCTCTTCAGTATAGAACCGACCTTGAATAAACTTGCGTACGTATATATATATATATATATATGTATATATATGTATATATATATATGTATATGTATGTATGCGGGCAAAAGATAACCGGGTACATTCTTACGCCTTTTAAATGCCGTCCAGTAGATTTTTACGTCCGCGAGTAAGGCCATAAGGAGTCCGTCGACCACACCCAGGAATTTCATCTACCCTATCCTCACTCACGTCGAAGACGCGCCTTAGACAATTT